CTGGAACTCAGCCCCACGCCATGATTTACAAGCTCTTCGTGGCATCATCTGTCAAATGCCCACTGCATGGCACTGCGGCCCATGACGTTTCACAGCGCTGAATTCCAGCGATGATTGCGATTTTCTAGATCGCTAGGAAAAATGACTGACTCTCGATGCCTCCCGAGGTTGCAGTGTTGTTTTGGAGGAGCGTCGGTCTGGCTTTGCTGCGCAGCTTGCCTTTCATTCATGTTTCGCATGAAACAATCTGAAGCAGTTATGGGGACACTTCCCAGGGCGAAATCATAATAGTAATTCCTACTATAGAATATAGAAGTCCCACATTCTACTATAGAGGTACTTAGGACCCTTTCGGAAGTCGGACCCAAAATTGACCAAGTAATGCCGTGCAACTAAGTTTGAGTTCTGGCAGATGCGTCGCTATCTTTTGCTAGTTTGATCCAGCGTACAACCGGAGCATGCATCAGCCCCGCCGGGGAATCTTCGCAAGAGATTGAAGGATGCTTGTCTCGGCCGCAAAACCGAGGTGGGTAAACGATGTCATGTCGGGGTGAGCCAGCTCGGCAGTAAATCCTAAACTTCCTCTTAACCCTACAATCCTAAAAGCCTCGGAAAGTTCAAAGTCCCAGAAGCGGTCTTCCTAGCCATGGCAACGGCTCGTGCGCACAATGGCCCTCTTTGCTGCATCCTTTCATCTTCTCAGGAACAGCTCGCATATTTCAATGCGTGATGCTCCACGGGACATTGTGCAGCTTATGCTTGCACAACAGCAACACGGAGACACGAGCCCGGAGGCTCAACAGCACCATATCGCAAAATTGCCGATACCTCTGCAGGATCCTGAGCGGTCAGAACTCATTCTCACACGCACACACACACCAGCTGGCACCTGATTGTTGTCGCTGCCATCGCCTGGTGCTCCTCTCAGAAAGGCCGTTGCAGGGCTCATTCGCATCTTCAGCATTATTGTCATCATCTCGCATCGGGCTCCCCTGGCCAGGAGTACACAGCATGCCTCATGACCTCGATTCCGGCTCCGAGTAAATACTTGCTTCTGACTATCTAGCACTGAACACTTGTCACTGCACCTGAAGCAGGCGCCTTCGCAGCGTTTTCTCAGAGTAGGCAGTAGCCGGTACAGGTGCTCAGGATCTGAGGTCCTTCGTATGCTGTTAGAGGGTTCACTAAGCTATGATACTGGGTAGAAGTAATGCCAACCCTGCTGGCTACTAGCAGTACTGCCAGCACTCATACTCCTACCACCACTACCAGTACCACCACCACCACTACTACTACCATGTCTGATTGAACTGTGGTGGCCGATGAAATTTTGGTTGCTTAATCACTGCATCCACTGTACAACCCAACAAACCTCGCCGTGAGCGTAGTTCTCTGCAATGCGAGAGGGAAAAAAACTACCACCACCACGACTTCTGGCAGAAGTAGCAGTAGCAGTAGTAGTAGAAGTAGTAGCAGTGGTAGAAGTCGTAGTAGTAGTCGTCGTCGTAGTAGTAGTAGTAGTAATGGTAGTAGTAGTAGTAGTAGTAGTAGTAGTAGAAGTAGAAGTAGTAGTAGTAGTAGTAGTAGTTGTTGTTGTTGTAGTGGTCGTAGTAGTAGTAGTAGTAGTAGTAGTAGTCGTAGTAGTAGTAGTAGTATTAGTATCAACACTAGTCATAATAGTAGTGGCAGTATGAGTAGCAGCAGCAGCAGTAGTGTTGTGGTTGTGGTAGCAGCAGGAGCAGGAGTAATGGCAGGAGGAGCAGGAGTAGTTGCAGCAGTAGCAGTAGTGGCAGGCCATAGGCTGCGGCATGACCGATGAGGGAGAATCCTTGACGCGGCACCGCCATGTGAGATGGCAGGACATTGCTTTGATGTCAGGTCTGTCGACTCTGTAGCTTAGTAATTAGTGCTTATCTGACGGAGCACACAACAACGAGCTAGGTATTCACCCAGAGGATGGCACGGCAAAGGATTGTCGCGAAAGCAGACAAAAGCTGAACCTGGCTAAGACCGCGCGATGCAGCTATACGGAAGCAGGTTCTTCTTCGTACGGACGGACGCACTAATGTGTCACTAGTCTTAATTTACAGCTTGATGAGTACGTCAGCATACAGAGAACATAGCTATTCACATATATATATATATATATGTGAAAATAGACCTAAGAAAAAGCATTGCCCTGTTTGTGTATTCCTCGAAGGTCACGCTACGGAGCTCTTACGTTCAGTGTAAAAGTTAATAGATTTGGTCAGCTCTGGTGCAATGCGCACCCGGTCTGCACGGTTGACGCGTCCGCAGGTATTTCAAGTCCAGCTGGAACATGCTGTAGTGCAGTGCGCATTTAGCACGAGTATCTGCTCGGACCCCGTCTCCGTCGGGACAGCGAGTTCAATGCAGAGACCATAATTAATCAATATGCGCCAGCGGGTGCCACTTGTCTTGTCTACTACTGCAGGACGAAGGTTCGCCACGCAACATAAAGTTGAGACGGAGCACCACATGCCCACCCTTTCCCCCGTAAACTCCTCGCGCAGCTCTCCGTCGGAAACTATGTAGTAGTATAATGCTATTCCCGGAAATTAACTACTCCGCCTGGCCACGTACAACGGGTGTTGGGTCTCTCCGCTTCTCCGCGGCACATTTTCAGGATAAGCTGCATGTCGAAACTTTCGGCCCAGGGGTGTATTTCAGCCCCCCGACATAGTTTTCGCTCTTGCTCTCGCCGCAGTACGGCTCATGTTCTGGAGTCCTGCCACAGTGTCGTGCTCATTTTGGGGCTTTAGGAGTGATCTTGGGAGCCTCAAGTCCAAGGGCCACAGGCGCTCCTGGAATGGAGGGCTTTTCACTGGCAGCATTGGCCCAATATTCTTGTACACTATTTAGACGAAATTGAAGCATGTTTTTGAATGTCCCCTCCCCTTTTAGGCTGGTATGCCCATACATGTCACGCGCAATCAACAACAATCATGGCCAGGTGGCAGGACACCGATACCAACCTTCATAGCAATATGCATAGCCTTTCTTGGCTTGAACCAGAAGGTCATCCCGGACCCAAGCATAAAGAGACATAGCCGGTGGCGGGGGGAACGCCTTCCATGCACAAATATACCCGACCATGACCCTGAAGCGAGGACTTGCGCGGGAGCGGCTCCGATGTCAGTCTGGATACAGATGGGCAGCGGGCCCCTTTCTGCATGCATTGGGGCTGTGCTGAGGCTGCTTAGGCTTCCGTAGAAAGTCCTCTATTTAGGAACACACACACATATGCATATTCATAGATGTATATATATATATATATATACGTGTGTGTGTGTGTGTGTGTGCGTATGCATGTATGCATGTACGTACGTACGTGTACGTGTGTAAATGCAGGTATGTAGGTATGTATGCATGCATACACCATATGTGTGTATTGTATGTATGTTTGTATGAAGAGTGCGGTTGCTGCTGAGACCGCCCTAAACCTCGGATGACGTTGCCGAGCGCGAGTGCGAAAGTGTTGTCTGTATGTATGTACGCACTATGTGTATCGAGTGTGCTAAAAACGTATGTCTGTATGTATGTATGTATGTATGCATGCCTACATGTAAGCATGTACGCATGTATGTATGTAAGTAAGTATGTCATATGTATCTATGTATGTGTATGTAAATATGTGTGCACATATGTATGTATATGTCCTTATGTATGTAAGTATGTATGGCATCTGTATGTCTGTATGTATGTTTGTATGTAATCGTCATGAAGTCGTTGGGGGGTGGGTGGGCGGGGGGTGGGTTCCTTAATCCATGATTAATCATCTTCATACATGATTAGTGCGGGATTAGTTGAGTTTTTGCATAGGATTGTTTCAGGATAGCCA